CAACGGCTCTCATCCCAAAGATGGATGGGTGCTTCTTCCTCTGCGTGGCATCCTCCAAGGCAGCAGTTCTCAATCTGTGGGTCGTGACCCCTTTGGAGTCAAAAGACCTTTTCACAGGGGTTGCCTGATTCATAACAGTAGCAAAGTGACAGTGATGCAGGAGCAATGAAATAATTTTATGGTTGGGGGTCACGACCACATGAGGAACTGTGCGAAAGGGTCTCGGCCTTAGAAGGCGTCAGAAGCAAGGAGGGTTTGTGCAGGACTTTGAGCAGACGTATTTTCCTTTGTCACTTTCGCATCGTGGTGGCCCTTCTCCCATCCCTGTTGCTTAGGAGAAGCAGCCAGCAGACCTTTTCTGAACGCCGTGGAGGAGAACTCTTTTGCAGAGGGGACTCCAGGGAACTTTGGGTAAGCCAAGCAAGAAAGCCACACGGTAGCAGCCGCTTGCAGCCCCACCTCTCCCCTCCCCAGACCACCTGGAGGCGGAGCCTGAGCAAATGAGTTGCACCTTTCCAATATCAGAATTATGGTGTTGGCAAAGGATAGCCAATCGACAGGAACGACCAGAAGAAGGAACACACCTTTGTCGGGAGAAATAGAGTCAGAATGCTCCTTAGAAGGAGGATGGCGAGACTGTCTTACATACTTTGGGCATGTTATCAGAAGAGACTGGTTCCTGGAGAAAGACACCATGGTCGGTCAAGACGAGAGTCGATGCACAAGAGGAAGCCGCTCCGTGAGGTGGATGGACACAGTGGTTCAAGCACCATAAGGCTGGTGAGGATGGTGCGGGACAGGGCAGTGCTGGTTCTGTTGCATAGAAGCTCTGTGGCTCCAAACCTACTCCATGACCCCACAACGGCATCATCCCACCGCTGCGCTGGGAGGTCTTGCTTATGCGCTGGGGTGAAGCGGTTGGCGTGTCAGATTCTAGCTGGTGTGTTTACTCAGAGAAGCCAAACTCAGGAAAATATTCATAAAGGAACAGCCTAATATCATAGGATTCCTTTGAGAGATACAATTGCAGTCATGGTAAAATGATCCAAGCGGTAACCATCCATCGTTTCTTTCTCAAGACGGTATTTTTTTGAAACAGCATTGGCACTATCCCCTTTTCATAATAGGTTTTGAGAAGTGAGTTGAAACGCAAACTTCAGATAATGTTTCAATTGAGTTAAAATAACATTAGCTCTGGAATCCTTTGGAAATGAACATAAGGGTGTGAGAGACGGAATTTAGCTTTTCCTACCCCACCTCAACAGTGTTTCCCCAAACTCTTTTGTTGATTTTAGCATAAACTTAGGGTTGATTTTAGCATAAAATCAAATTTACGGTTGATTTTAGCATAAAGTAAAAAATGATTTTAGCATAAAGTAAAAAATTCCCATGTAAGCATGGTTATTGCCTTATTGTGTCTCATGGATGTATCGATGTTTGCCTGTTTCTTTGCCAGTACCATGCTGTTTGGGTTAGTGTGGTTTTACAAGGTTACGGGGCATCTTGCCATCTGGTAGGAAGGTCCCCTATTAATGTCCTTTGTTCTTATTCCTCCATATCTCCTGGCTGTCCTCGTGTGTTTAGTCTTCCAGATAGATTTTAGAATCAACAGTTCAAGTCCTCCAAATCTTCCACTGGGATTTTGATTGCGACTCCAGAAGCCCTTTCCCCCGAATCTTCCCATTCAGGAACATGATTTCTTTTCATTTATTTAGATAATTTTAAAAAGTCTTTAAAGTTCTCTGGTTTTTCTCCAGATTCCTTGCCCATCAGACCTAACCACTGGTCTGAGAGGATCTCAAAGGAGGAAAAGCAATAGTGAAACCACCTGAATTCTGTGGTGAGACACAAGCTAGTTTTTCACATGCAAACGAGAAGAAGAAAGTGCTCTGGTTTTCTTGCATACGTCTCAAAATGTTTAATGTAATTACATAATATACGTGTGTGTGTATACTAGTGTGTACATATGTAGTGTTACATGATATATATTATGTATGAGGGGCTTCAAAATGTGGAATAAAGGAATGGAAAGAAAACGAAAATTGTTCATGAACTTGTAAAGCCCCTTTGGATTTCTGCTATGGTAAGTGGACTACTTTCTCCCCGCACCCCATTTTGACTTCATTTTTTTATTTAACAAATTTAAACTTTTATCATTTGGGTCTTTTTTTAAGTGATTTTTACCTTAGTTAAGGCTTTTGTGGCAGCAATTTTCAGAGGTCCATTTAATCTAACTTCAGCCAAAAGGTGGGAGGTGGGGGGGTGTTGTTTGAGGGGAAATTCTTTGGAAGGCTGCCGAGATTTCCACTGGAGGCCAAGGGCAGAAGTGGGGAGTGGGGGTCGTGCTCCAAAGGGGCTGGAAACAGGAGCTGCTCATTCTCCCACTCCGGTTTTCCGGTCTCTCTCCCTCAGCAGTTCAGCTTCCGTTGTCCCGCTCCCACATTCCTGGGACGCAAGGGGTCATAGAACAAGCCTGGCCATAGGGGCCCATCAGCCATTGGCCTGAAACAGATTTCAAAGCATTGCAAAGTCAGACACTTCACAAGAGTTCATTTCTTTCCTGAGAGGGGTACAGTTGGCCGTCACATCATGGAAGGGATGGATGATCGATAATTCCAGGCAATCAACAGGGACAATCAGCCTGCATAATTGTGGGCGTAAGAATTCAACAAGTATCTATTGAGTCCCCACCTGGGTATATTGCCTGCTGTTCACTCTATGTAGCCACCCTTTAGGCTTTGGGCCTGAATCACACACAAACTGAACTCGCTCAAGTTTGACTCCTATATAAGAGGTGTCCAAGATGATGTGGGAAGAAGACAGCCTCACTTTTCTCTCAGGGAGACTGGTGGGTTTGAATCGCTGACCTTCAGGTTAGCAGCTCAACTCAGCCCACTAGGGCTCCTGAAGATGACACATAAACTCAACCAAACTCACTGCCACTGAGTGGATTATCCAAATCACAGCGACCCTAGAGGGCAGAGTAGAACTGCCCGTGTGGGTTTCTGAGACTGTAACTCTTTACGGGAGTAGAAAGCCTCATCTTTCTCCAGTGGAGTGGCTGATGGTTTTGGAACTGCTGACCTTGAAGTTAGCAGCCCAACTTGTAATCCAGTCAACCACCAGGGCTCCTAAAGATTATATATATGTAGTCTGCCATAAATGTTACATCAGTGGTTTCGGGGCATGAATTGCCATTTCAAGTGCAGTCATTAGAAAATGTCGCAGCAGAGTCCATCTGAACCGCTCCAGGGAGTTTTCAAAGCTACCTGTTGTGTTGGAATCAATCTCCAGGCCTATCTTCCGAGGCACTCCAGGGCGGGTCTGAAGCATCTACCTTTTCGTGAGTAGCCAGTGTGTAACCATTGGGGCCACCTATGGAGTCTCATTAAGGAATTATTAGGAAATAAGATCCTCCAAAACTGGCAATTTGGGATTAAGGTGAATGTGACCCCATTCCTACCCTCAACGGGCCATTAGTTCTGTTTCTCCTCTGTAGAATAGCACTTGGTTGTGTTAAACTTCAAGGTCTTATCCTTTGTTCTCCCTGTGGGCCTATTTCAGATTTGTTCTTACTTTTATTATTTTTTGGTTATATTGTCCACTGAGGTTTCTCTATAGTCCATCATTGTTATTGTTGTTTTTTGGGGGGAGGGTATGTTTTGTCTTCTCTGAAATCCCAAACCAAAAAACCAAACTCATTACCATGAGTCAATCCTGACTCATGGCAACTCATTATATGAAATCCAGGATAGATAAATATTCTATAGACAGTAACTAGATTAGTAGTTTCTAGGGGCTATGGCAGGGGAGGCTGGGGGGAAGTGGGGAGCTAATGGGTACAAACAAGAAAAAAATGTTCTAAAATTGATTGTGGTGATGCTTGCACAACTGTTTAATATGTTTATTGGACGTTATGATATGTGAATTACATGTCAATAAAGGAAACGGTTAAAATTAAAACCAAAAAATTCCTTAAAAGCCATTCTGTTAAAAGGCCTATTTTTCTTTTCTAACTCTGGTGGTGCTGTCTGGTAAGCATTAGGCTGCTAACCACAAGGTCATGGGTTGAAAGCGACCAGCTTCATGCTCCCCACCCCCTAAACAGCTTGGGAAACCCTATATACAGTGATATTAATAAGATGGAATCAACTCGATGGAAGTGGGTTTTTTGGGCATAATTCTAAGGTCTGTAGTTGACGTCAGTATTTGGCCAGGAACTTGGGGAAAACTACCAAGGGAGCTGGAGTCAAAAACTTGGCAGTCTTGATGCTAATGGTTACTAATTGAACGACCTTCGCAAGTAACCTAGCCTCTGTGAATCTGTTTTCTCATTTTCAAGCCCGGGATAACAGTTGCTAGAAAACACAGTAAAAATAAAGGGCGAGGTACGTACGGACACTGTCAATCACTCATATAGCAGGGGGTGGGCTGGGTAGGTGAAGCTCATTTGGAGGAAACAAACAAACAAACAAACAAAAAAGAGGCAAAGGTTCCTTCACTCCCGCCTCCGCGCCCCTCTTTCATGTCTTGGCTCTTTCACACAGAAATTCAAAAACCCCTTTGTACGGCGGCGGCGGGCTCTCCTTAACTGGAAAACCAGTATTCGCTCAGGACGTGAGTTTTCCCTAAACATTCCAACTCTCTCAACGTTGCGTCCCCACCCAGTCTGCAAACAACGTCAGGTTTTCCTTTCTGGCCTGAGGGCCCCCGGCGAGCCGAGAGGGCGCCCAGGCGTGCGGGGCCAGGGGCGGGGCGGAGGTGCAAGGGGCCTAGCTCGGGGTCCGAGGCCAGGGCCACAGCGGTCACTGCCGCCCATGGACCGCCCCCACCGCCGTGCTCTCCCGGCTCGGGCGTGGTTTCCGGCAGCGGAGGCGTGGCTTCCTGCAGCGGTGGCGTGGCTTCCTGCAGCGGAGGCGTGCCTTCCGGTCGTCGCTCCGGCGCGCCTTCCTGGCGGGGGGTGGGACTTCCTGGCCATCATCACTAGGCGCCCGGCTGCCGAGCTGGTAAGAGGGTCAGACGGTGGAGTTAGTATGGCTGGCCAGGCTTCACGTCCCTCTACAGAGGACACGGGAGGACTCTCTTCCTCACTCCCTTGCCTTTTCTTATCCTCGAGACTGCGGTTTGCGCGGAAGCCCTGGGCTTTTGACGCTACTACCCACCTGAGACCCTTCCGCTTCCTCTTTCCTCAGGCTCCGCCCCCGGCGTCCTGTGGCCATGACGACAGCCCCGCGGGACTCTCTGGTGTGCCAGCTCGCGGGGCTGCTGCGGCAGTCTGGTGAGTGGACTTCCGCTTGGGTTGGGCTGAGGTGGGGCGCGCCCTACCTTCCGGAATCACGCCCCATGAAGGTCACGGAGTCAGCGGTGTAGGGTCCCGACCGGCTGTGTGTCAGTACCAGTTCTTTCATTGCTTTGCTTCTCCCTGGTCCAGCTGCGCATTGTGCCCTTTGTCTTTGAAAGCCTAACCATCACCGTTGGAGACCACACTCCCAAGTCACTCACTTCCTCTGTCCGTTCTCCGACACCCTCGAAGGCAAAGGGTCGCTATATAATAAAACCCCACGGAGCAGGAACGGCGCACAATCACTACTGTGGTGTAAGATTTAAGCAGAGCATAGTTTAATAGCGTTAGACTCGGGAGTCAGACCCACCCCGGTGGGAATTCCAAGTCTGTCACACTGAGTCGCGTTGAGCGGCTAATCAAGAGGTTAGTTAGCAATTCGAAACCACCAGCGGCTTTGCGGGAGAAAGATGAGGCTTTTTCCTCCTGAAAAGAGTTGTGTAGGAAACCCGCGGGAACCAGATCTTCGTGGTTGTATAAGGGTGAGAATTGACTGGATTGTAGTGACACCCCCCCCCCTCCACTCGGCCAAGTTTGGAGTCGCAGTTTTGTGCCAAAGGTGGTTGTGGGGATCAGTTCACTTAAAGCACATCGTCCAGTTTGCACATAAATGCTCAAACACTGATAGCTATGGCTACTGTCATGTCTGCCAGCAGTGCCTGGGCACCGTGGCATCCTGGTGGTGGTTCAGTACATGGTTGGTATTAGTTGAGTTTCAACAAGCCTGAGTATCACTTTTGTATTAGAAAAAAGGAAGCTACAACACCTTGTCTTGTTTTATGTAAAGTGAGTGGTTACTGCCTTCAGAGTCAGCAGTGCTGGCGGAATAGAAAGCTTCCTGGGGGAAGAGGGTGTGAGCAGGTCTGAGAGGAAGGAGCTGCCTCAGACCAAGGGGGAGCTGGGAACCAAGCTGCTCTGCCAGCCCTGGAAACAGACCAGAAGGAGCCCTGGTGGTGTGGTATGGGTTATTCGTTGGGCTGCTAGCCACCAGGTGAGCAGTTCAATCTTGCTCCCATAAAGAAGTCCAGCCTTGGAAATCCAAAGGCACCGCCATTCTGCTCTGTCCTATAGGGTTGCTCCGAGTTGGTGTTGACTTGCTGGCAGGGGGTGGGAGTAAACAGGACTCTTGAGGAGAAGGTGGAAGAAATCATAGAAGAGTTTGTTGACCCGGGACTGAAGCTGCTTCATCTCTCAGGCAGAAGAGTTAGGATTTTCCTTTCCTTTTGAAGAGGAGGGGACCCACTGAAGACTTCTGAACAAGGGAGGGAGGCAAAGGTTGATCCTTTAGGGGAAGATCTACAGTTTAGATCAAATTAAGGTCTAGAGTTAAGTGAAGACCAGCTGATGGACTAGGATGAGGCATTCCATGTCAAGATTCACGGTGCCTTCCTCCTCCTCTCTTCCCCCATCTACCCCCCAGGGGATGTGGTCCTGTCTGGTTGCAGCACACTGAGCCTGCTGACCACCACCCTGCAGCAGCTCAACTCCGTGTTTGAGCTGCACCTGGGACCATGGAGTCCCTGCCAGTCCGGCTTTGTGGCGCTGCCATCCCACCCTGCTGACTCCCCAGTCATCCTCCAGCTTCAGTTCCTCTTTGACGTGCTGCAGAAAACGCTTTCCCTCAAGGTCCTAGGGCTGGAGGCGGGACAGCCTGGATAAGGGTGGAGGCTGGGGAAAGGGACCTGAACTAGGTGCTGTCCAAGCTGCAGGTGGTGGCTCGAAGGAATCTGGCTGAGGGGAGAGATTGGCAGGGACCCCATGACTTGAGTGCCTTTTCTTTTAGCTTGTCCATGTCCCTGGGCCCAGCCTCTCAGGACCCATCAAGATTTTCCCCTTCAAGTCCCTTCGGCAGCTGGAGGTATGGGGACCTCAGGAAGCTGGTGTATGAAACCTAGCTTTGGGGCTTTGGGTGGAGGTGCAGGGGTCGTGAAGGAGAAAGATGGCCTCAGGCTGTAGTGAGGCCTGGTCTGGGTGTAGCCTGCGGGGATGTGCTGTCTGCTGCCCTGAAATGTAGCTGGATTTTATCATCTTCGCCCTGACTACCTGGAGCAGGGATGAGGCTTCCTGTTGTGTGACGTTCCGCCCTGCTTACCCCCTCTCTCTCCCCTCTGGTCCCAGCTCCACGGGGTCCCAGTCCACTGCCTGCGTGGCCTCCGTGCTATCTACTCTCGGCTGGAGATCTTGGTTTGCAGCAAGAGCATTCGGGCCTTAGAGGTACAGAGGGTGGGCCTGGGCCCAGGTACCTGGTCTCTGGTGTTCCCCCTCTGCAGCCCCCACAGAACCCTTGCTTGCCCGTGTCCTCCACACAGTAGTTGACCTCCTGGTGTCTGCTTTCTGGGGGCTTGCTCTAAGTGCACCTCCAGATGGACCGTAGGACGTGGGAGGCTGAAGGGGATAGAACTGTGTCCTGGTGTGGGGAAGGGTGAGCGGGGAGGTGGTGAAGCCCCTTTCTGCCCTCGCCCCCCAGGAACTGCTCTCTGCCTGTGGTGGTGACCTCTGCTCGGCGCTCCCCTGGCTGGCTCTGCTCACTGCTGACTTCAGCAACAACTCCCTGACTGCCCTCGATGGCTCCCTGGTGAGTGCCACCGTGAGGGTGGGGGTGCGTGGGGTGTGCTGGGGCCGACCGATTCTCTACCTCTTCTTCTGGTCCCCCAGGGCCTCCTGTTGGCTGTGCGCTTCCTGAGCCTAAGCCATAATCAGATCCAGGACTGTGAGGCCTTCCTGACGGTGAGCGCATGACCTGGACCATGCCTTTCTGGGCTCAGAGCTCCACTGCCCTGCTTTTGCCTGTGGGGTGGGGTCACAGAAGACTGAAAAGGGACCCCTGCTGTGGAGGCAACTCTGACGCCTAGTGAGCCCGTTGGGTGGAGCAGAACCACTGACCTTGTGGTTAGCAAGCCGGTGTCTAGCCCACAGCACCAGCAGGTTTCCTTAGCGTAAGAGCACATCAGAGTTTCAGTCTCAACCTCCAGTGCCTGTGTGACCCCACCTGTGGTGCAGATGCCCCAGGCGCACCTGCTATTGCAGGACCACATGAGTGTGGGGAGGACCCAGCCCGTGCCTTGCACAGTGAACGGAGGCTTGTGATGCTGATGATGAATGCTGTCTCACCCCCACCGCCTCTCTCCCTCCCCAGGCCTTGGGCGAGCTCCACCACCTGGACGTCTCCTATAACTTCCTGCGCGTGGTACCCAGAATGGGCCCCTCGGGGGCTGCTCTGGGAACTCTGATACTTCGAGGCAACGAGCTCCGGAGTCTGCTCGGTGGGTGGGGGAGCTGCGACTTGAGTTGAGGCCGGGGGTGGGGGGGTCCCTGTGCTTCTGCAGCCTCATTGAGTTCCCAGGTGGCACGAGGATGCTCAGGTGTGACTACCCTGGCGTCCTGGGTCTACACCTGTGCCTCCCCCTTCCCACACTCACAGGGGTGGAGCAGCTGAGGAAGCTGTGGCACCTGGATGTGGCCTACAACTTGCTGGAAGATCACAGGGAGCTGGCACCGCTCCAGCTGCTGGCTGAGCTCTGCAAGGTGCAGGCCTGGGCCTTGGGGGCTTGGGCACCAACTTTAGGCCCCTCCCACCCAGCTGATGTGGTCAGTGGTGGTCTTCATGACCCCCTCGCGCTCTTCTTCCTGCCCCTCAGCTTTACCTGGAGGGGAACCCATTGTGGTTCCACCCTGCGCACCGAGTGGCCACGGCCCAGTACTTGTCACCCCGGGCCAGGGATGCTGTTCCTGGGGTGAGTGACCATGCTGATTCCTTCCCTGCGTTGCCTCTCCACTACCTCCATCCTGGGAGACCCCTGTGAGTATCCGCCCAGCTTGGTGACCAGGGAGGACGTGAGGGCTCCTGTCCTATCCGGGATCCCACCCAGGGCCCGGCTCTCCACCCTCACACTTGCTCTCTGCCCTGTGATCTTTGCCCAGTTCCTGCTGGATGGTGAGATCCTGTCCTTGGCAGAGTTTCAGGTCAGTGTGCTGGGGGTGGGGGCCAGGAGGGAAGCAGGCACAGGGGCTCTAGCTCTCCAAGGTCAGCGGGGAAGTAGGCCTGTCTCCTGCCCGTGCCAACCTCCTGCGTCACCCGCTGTCACACCCAGGCCTCCACCTCCTCCGGCCCCGGCCCGGCGGCCCCACCTGTACCCTGGCCAGTCGGGAGTGCCACTGAGACCTCTGGTGGCCCTGACTTGAGTGACAGTCCCTCCTCTGGGGGCCTGGCAGCCCGGCCCCTACCGAAGAAGGGTAAGGTGAGTGGTGGCTGGACTGCCTGTGTGCAGGCTGGGCTTTGCTTATGGGCATCCTGGCCGCCGGTGTGCTGACAGCAATGAAGCCTGGTGCCGTGTGGGGGCCTGGGTTTCACAGAAGCTCCCGTCCTTTCTCCCGCCGCCGCAGAGCCGAGTCCGAGTGAGACGGGCCAGCATCTCTGAACCCAGTGACACTGACGCAGAGCCCTGCACTCTGGACCCCTCCCCAGCGAGTGAGTCGGCCCTGGTCCCACCAGCCCCCTCCCCCAGCTCAGTCCATGCTCCGGTAGTCACTGTGAGCAGATGGAGGAGGGGTTTTGTCTTTAGTGCCATGTGGCGGGTGGTGGTTATGGGACCTCAGTTTCTCCTTTTCCTGTCTAGGGACAGGAGAAGCAGCTGCGGCTGGGTAGCCTCTTCTAAAGTGCCGTACAAGGAGCGTCTGTGCTCTGGGCTGACCCCAGTCACTCAGAGAGAGAGACCTCTTTGGCCTGAGACATTGTTAGGCTGGACTCGTGGCTGGGCGTCTCGGGGTCTCAGAGCCCCGGCAGTGCACAGCTAGCTCAGATGTAGCCTTGACTGAGGTTCTGGATAGCATGTGACCATGGTTCTCTAGACAGAATGTGGACTGAGCCTCCATCGGATCCCTTTAGGGGAGCACCTTAGAGAAAACCAAGGGGCATGTGTGTGTTTTGTGTGTGTGTATGTGAGTATATGCTGTGTATGTGTGTTCTGTGTATGTGTGGTGTGTATGGTGTGTGGTATGTGTCGTGTGGTGTCTTATGTGAGTGTATGCTGTGTGTGTGCTCTGTATATATTCCGTGTATGTGGTGTCTATGGGAGCGTATGCTGTGAACGTGGCATGTGGTGTCTGTGTTTCCCGCTGGTGAAGTGTGCTTGCCCCTGTCCTCCGTCCAGGCTGGTTTGCACAACAGCACCGGGAGCTCGAGCTCATGAACAGCTTCCGGGAGCGCTTTGGCTGTGACTGGCTGCAGTACAGGAGTCACTTGGAGACTTCAGAGGACCCCGCCCTGACCACCTCCCAGCCCTCGAACTTCAGCCAAGTGCCCTCGGATACACTGGGCTCAGAGCCGGTGCCTGGCCCTTGGGCTACAGAGAAGGTGGCCTCCAGTCCTGAGGGGTCAGAGACGTCAGTACAGGAGCCGTCAGAGGCGGTCCTGGTTGGACTGGAGCCCCTGGAGGCAGAGGAGGCGGAGGACCTGGTCGAAGAGGACGGGGCTGGGGACCAGGAGGATGGGCCTGGTGAAGTGGAAGGTGAGCTCTGTGCTGGAGGAGCTGTGAGGGGCACTGGGGATGGGGGTGTCCACGTGTCTGGGTGGGTTCGAAGCATCCATACTTGGAACAGAGGCCGCCCACAGAAGGGCCAAGTGTCTGGGCGCCCTCTCTCCCCACAGCTGAGCGGTGCCGCCCCATGCTGGTATGCCCCTTGCAGGGGCCTGCGGGCCTCCGGGGCAGAGAGTGCTTCCTGCGGGTCACCTCGGCCCACCTGTTGGAGGTGGAACTCCAAGCAGCTCGGACCTTGGAGCGGCTGGAGCTTCAGAGTCTGGAGACCGCTGAGCTAGAGCCCGAGCCCGAGCCCCAGGGAGACTTGGCCCCCGGTGTGAGTGGGGCTGCCCGAGGGGCTGGGCCTCCACCACGGCACACCCAGTGTGCTGTGCTGGGTTGGGCGTGCCCCCCTTGGCCTCCTCTGATGCTTGGCACCAAAGTGGGAAGCTGTGGGGGGAGCAAAGCTGTGCCCCCCTCTCCTCTGGGCTGTGGGCGGACAGAGCTGCTGTGGATATGGGCAGAGGTGTGCCCCCTGCCACCCTTCCCCCATCCCTCACATGCAGGAGCTGCTTCCCATCCTCGCCCTGCGCTTCTCCTATATCCGCCCTGACCAGCAGCTACGCCGCTACGTGGTGCTGGAGCCCGATGCCCACGCCGCTGTCCAGGTGGGCCCCGGGGCTCTGGTGGCACAGGAGATCCTGGCAGCAGCCCCAGCCTGTGACATGAGGGCCAGGCACCCCACCCACCCAGCTCAGGCTCCTCCCGATTCACCCATTGCAGGAGCTGCTAGCCGTGCTGCCTGCAGCCTCCAGCCCACACTTGTGTGGGCACCCGAGTGGGGAAGCCGGGGACCCCGTGCGGCATAGCCTGCAGTGTCTGCGCTGTGGCCATGAGTTCAAACCAGAGGAACCCAAGCCGGAGCTGGGCAGTGAGGATGCCAGGAGGTCCCAGAAGACTGGTATGCACTTGCCCCCCTCCCCCCATTCCTCCCACAGCTTCAGGGCAGTGGTTTTGGGGGCATGGGGGAGGAGGGACTCCGGGGAGGGGAGAGCCAGTCTAGGGAAAGGGAAAATACCTGCCTGCTAGGTCTATAAAAAGTTCCTTCTCGCCTGTTTTCCTCTAAGTCAGGAAGTTTAATCTCTCTAATTCTGCGGAAATACTCATCTTCATTGCTTGAAATTTTTTGCTGGCTTAAAACACTGGTGAATGTCTCAGAAAGCATGTCAGACCCAAGGAGCCCTCCGGGCATCAAGCAGTGCCATGGCCCTTCTGCTGGCTGCTGGGCTGCCTCATTCCAGGACTGACCACTGGAGCCCTTGATAATGTTGACTCGTGTCCTGTAGCATCTCTTCACCTCTGGTCTGGGAACCAGGAGGCTTTTCCATCGCCCTTGAGTCAGAAAGTGTTCCTCTTTCTTGGTCTGGGCTACAAAGAAATGTCCTCACTGGTGGTTGTGCTGAAACGCCTGGCTCTGGGCCGCATTCTGCTTGCTGGAGGATGGGGTCTCAGCTTTATGCAGAAACCAGAGCTCCGCCCTATTTCCCACCTGTCCTGTTGCCAGCCTGCAGGACCCAAAGCACAGCTCCAGGGCTCCCTGGGGTCACCTCTGGGGCACCGGGGATTAATGTGGCATTACATACCGTGTGTAGCTGTGTTGTCATTTGAGCCTCAGTTTCCTTGTGTGTAGTAAGGCGAGGATGAGCTTACCTTGTGGCGATGTTACAGGACTCAAATGTGACCCCCAGGTGCAGAGGGGCCATGGAGGTGCAGAGGTCAAAGCCCTCCAGGGCCAGCCATGCGCACGCGCCCCTGGTAGTGCCGTGGTTGAAGTGGTCAGCAGTGGTGAGCCATAACTGCCGGCTGTTTGAACCTGCTAGCTGCTCTTTCTGGGGGGAGAGATGCCACCGTTTCAAAGCTCTACTGCCTTGGGACCCCAGGTGCGGTTCTGCCCCATCTTGTCAGATGGCTGTGAGTCAGTGACCGGCAGTAGGCGAGCCTCAGGCTTGGTAGGCACCTGGGGCACCAATGCCCTCACCCACAGCTCTGCCGTCTTGGCCGGTGTCTCCATGGTTGGATCTTGGCACTCCTCACTTGTGCAGGGGGATGGGGAGAGTTTTGATGGGAATGAGACCAATTATCTTGAGGCAGAGAGCTGGTGGTGCAGTGGCTAAGGGCCTGCCTAATCAAAAGTTGGCGGTTTGAACCCACTCGTGGCTCCATGGGAGAGAAGGCCTGGCTGGGGTGGAGATGATGGCTGAGAACCCCCTGCAGGGCAGCTCTGCTCTATCTTGTGGGCCACTACAAGCCAGCAGCAGATGGCAGCTGCTGTGGTATACCGGCACGGGGCCGCTCACAGAGTGCCCGGTCAGGTCCTTCACCCTCTGCCCGCTGTAGTCACTCTTCTGACAACCCTGAGAGAGCCATGCAATTGTCACCTGTGCCTTCTCCGTGCAGGAAGTGACACGGTTCTGGTGATAGAGCTGTGAGTGGTGAGCCCTGGGACAGGCCCTCCCGTCCCCTCCCTCTGTACTTGGGGGCCCAATGGCCAGCCCTACAGATGTGGCTGGCAGAGCAGACAATTGCTCAGTGGCCCAAGACTGGGGTGGAGGCTGGGGCCAGAGAGCCAGGCCTGGCTGAGAAGGTGGTGAGTGAGTAGAGAGCCAGGCCCTGGCCTGGGTTTGTGCCTCCCTCCCTGGAGGATGCCAGGCCTGCCCAGGGCCTAGAGCGGAGGGAGCCTGTGGGTCAGGACCCAGGCATCATGCAGCTGCAGGTGTGGGGTGCAGCAGTTGCGTGGTGGGGGCCCTTTGTTGGGGGCTCATGGGGCATTGTCACTGTCTTCCCTAGACTCCTTTGCCAAATGTCCCAACTGTGGCAGTGACCATGTGGTGCTCCTGGCCCTGTCTCCCAGCAAGGACCGCAGCCAGGGCGACCAGTGCCCCACACCTCCCCCATTTCTCAGTCCTACCGGTGACTCTTCTGGCCACAGTGACCCCCACAGCAGGCCTGACAATGTCCCATCCCAGGTTCTGGTTGCCCAGGACCACAGCAACTGGAGCCTCAGTCCCCGTGAGTACAGAGGATGAGAGCCAGAGGTGCAGTGGGGTTGGGGGAGAGGGTGCTGGTGGTGAGGTGGGGTGATAGACATGGACTGCTGGCCTTGTCGCCCCAGCCCCTGACCGCGCTGGCCTCCGAGCTGTGGACCACCGGCTGCGGCTCTTCCTGGATGTGGAGGTGTTTGCTGAGGCCCAGGAGGAGTTCCAGTGCTGCCTCAAGGTCAGTGCCGCCCCCTGGCCCCACCACGGTGCAGCAGCTCCCCGCTGTCTGCTGGGATGCGCCCTTGGAGTCTGAGTCTCAGTCACTGGCCTGCCCTGGAATTCACTATGTTCCCAGCCCCTCCCCTCTGAGTAGCTGCTCAGTGCTGGGTACTGAGGACCTCCAGCCAATCAGGCTTGCCCTGAGCTAAGTGTCAGCCCAGGAGGGGTCAGGCTGTATAGCCAGGGCCCTCACTCAGCACCTGGCAAGGCAGGCTGGGAAGCCCTCCCGAGAGGCTCCTGGAGTTGAGATGGGGTGAAGATGCCAGGATAGGAGGCAGGGGAAGGGTAGTTTCTGGGTGCTGGGGGCAGGGCGGGGGGACTGAAGGTCAGAGCACAGGCTGAAGGGGTAGGCAGGGGCCTCAACCCCTTCCTCCCTCACAACCTCCTGTGTCTGCCACGGGTTTGGGCAGAGCCATGGGAGCAACAGAGGGATAGAAAGCAGGAATGTGGGTCAGTCTTGTGCTGCTGGGTGTGGGGGTGAGCCAGAGGGTAGGGGAACCAGGGCAGGCTGGTGAGGTGGTCACCAGTGACCCAGAGCCATCCTGCTGTTGCCTCCCACCCAGGTGCCGCTTGTGCTGGAGGGCCACGTCGGAGAGACTCTGTGTCTTGTGGTCATTTCTGACCTCAGGTTGTACGTGCTGAGGGTGACTGGCGAGGCCTGGTGAGTGGGCCAGGGTGCAATTGGGAGTGGGTGGGTTAGGAACCTGCTCCCACAGGCCGTCACTCTGTTCCTGCACCCTCTCCCCAGGGGGCCTCCAGCTGACTGGCTGCAGCCGACCCTGGCCATCCCCCTGCAGGACCTGAGCAGCATAGAGCTAGGCCTGGCGGGACAGAGCCTGCGGCTGGAGTGGGCGGCTGGTGAGAGCAGCTGCGTCCTCCTGCCACGAGATGCCCGGCCCTGCTGCGCCTTCCTGGGCGAGCTCACTGGTGAGCAGGATGGGCAGGATGGGCAGGGGTGCGAGGACAGACCCTGGTCCCATGGGAGGGGTGGTGCTGGGGAGCGGGCAGTCAGTGCTCTGGGGTGCCCTCTCCTTGTTGGCCACCCAGATGTCTTGCAGTCTCTGCCCCCCACCCAGAAGAGCTGCGTCAGGGCCACAGAGGAGGCCATGACCCCACAGCACCGGCTCTGGTGAGAACCGCCCTTGCTCACAGAGCCCCTGCCCTAGTGCCCCAGGGCCCACAGGCCCAGCCTGCAGCTTCCTGTCTGCCCCTCCTCCTCCCTCTGCCCCTCTCCGGTTAACCAGTCTTGTCTGCTGTGTTCCCCAGGCCACTGCTGGACACAGACTCTACCCCAGAGGCGCCCCGGTTCTTCTACCTCCGTGTGTTCCTGGTGGAAGGTGAGGTTGCTCTGTGGCAAGGCATAGGGACTCCTCCATCGTGTTCCTTGTCCCCATCTTGTCACTGGCCAGTCCCCAGTCTGCCTGCAGTGTGTGGGGGCTTCCAGGGACTGTGTACCCCTGCAGTGTATGGGGGCTCCCTGGGACTGTGTATACCCCTGCAGTGTGTGGAGGCTCCCTAGGACTGTGTACCCTGTAGTGTGCGGGGGCTCTCTCATCAAGTTTGTCCCCATTTGTCCCCGGCCACTGGCCAGTTCCTGGTCCGCCTGCAGCCCTGGACTTCTCTCACTTGTTACATGTCTGAGACTGACTCTGCTGGTGGGAGTGGGGGCCTGAAGCTGCCCCGAGCCTCAAATATCAGATGCCTTTGCTTTCGGGTTCAGCTGGCAGATCTTGGACCTCACAGGTGGACATGGCCTCGAGTGTGGTGTCCTCTGCTGAGGAGTTGCAGATGCTGGCCCCGCCTCACTTGTCCCTCTCTCACCAGGCCCCTCTACGTGCCCTGTGTCCCTGCTGCTGACTCTGTCCACCCTGTACCTGCTAGATGAGGCCCCTGCAGGGCCCCAGGCTGAGGCCCCTCCTCCAGCAGCATCTGCTGAAGCCCAGGAGAAGGCAGCTCCCCTGGGGCCAGGCCCTCCAGTGGAGGTCCAGGAGCAGCAGCCTCTCAGCAGCCTGAGCTCCGTGCTGCTCTACCGCTCTGCCCCGCACCACCTGCGGCTGGTCTTCTATGACGAGGTGGGCAGGTGGGAAATGGAGCTGGGGGCTGGGGAGTGATGGAGGGTGGGGACAGTGAGGGAACATGGCAAGCTTGAGGGTGGATATGGGGGTCCTACTGGGTTTGGATGAGCAGACAGCCAAGCGGGGTGCAGCTGTGGGTGGGAGCACAGCCGTGGGTCGTCTGCAGCCCTGAGTGAGGACCCCGCATGCTGGGTCCGTGCTCTGAGCTAGGTTCTCCAGCTTTACCCCCACTAGTCCTATCTTACGGACAGGGAACAGGCGTGGCTATGTGAGCCAGCTTTCTGAGGTCACGGGTGGAGCCAGCCTTCACACTTGCTCGGCACTTGGCTCTAACATTTAGGCCTGGGGAGTTGGGGTGGGGTGGTGGGGGGTGTGTGTGTGTGTACAGCTGCAGGCTGGAGGAGGGGATAGAGATAGGGAGGGGGAGCCTGACCTCTGGAGCTGCCCTGGGAGCCTTGCCTCACCTGCTGCCTGGCCCGCCAGGTGTCTCGGCTGGAGAGCTTTTGGCCCCTCCGGGTGGCGTGTCCAGAGCAGCTGACGGCACTGCTGGCCTGGATCCGTGAGCCCTGGGAGGAACTGTTTTCCATTGGACTCCGCACTGTGACCTGCGAGGCTGTGGACCCTGACCAGTGAGCCTGCCCCCGCTGCCCGACGCTGACTGTCAGGGCTGACGGGGCCCTTCTGGTCCTGGGGTCTAGCTCGAGACTGGCGGTGGATGGACGTCTTTGGTGCTGGCCAGGGAAGCACCAAGGGCCCCACGTCTCACAGCGTTTCCCTTGCCTCAGCCGCTGGAAGGTTTGGCCTGAGGCGACAGGTGGCAAAGTGGTCACTTGGGATTGTCCCCCGTCTTACCCCCGTGCTTTTTCTCAGGTGTCAGTAAAGTTCCCATCCTAGGTGTCTCAGGTGTCAGGGTGGACTTAGTCACGTCAGTCACGGGGCCTCTCTGCCAGGGCTGCTTTGCCACCACGAACGGCCTGTTCAGGAAGCCCCCACTTGGGACACAGTGAGGGTCTCAAGCTGGTGGCGGTGGCCACTGAAACGGAGGGTGTCTGGGAGAGAGGGGGCGAGGAGAGCAGGCTGGGAGGAATGGGGCTGGCTGGTTTCGCTCCTCACCATGCTGGCTTCAGCATCCCCTCATGGTGAGCCCTTCCTCGCCTCTCTCAGCTGCAGTCACTGGTTCAAGAGGACGAGGCCTCCCCCTGGCTTTGCTGGAGCAACAAGGAAGAACAATGTCCTGTCCCCACGGGGCAGCTGGGAGACAATGCTGCAGGGGCTGCTGGCCCTGAGGAGGGCAGAGCAGAGGGCAGGGGGAGAGGTCCTGGTGACTCTCGCTTGGAGCCCAGCGCCCAGTGTGCCTGTACAGATTTTGTGTTGAGTAAACTGGGAGCCCCTTGCCCCCGTGTTTTTCTTTTTTTGTGGGGGGATCATGCTAATTTGGGTCACTGCGAGCATCTTGACATCAAGAGTGAAGACTGACAAGAGCGACGGCGACAGACAGACGTGTGGCGAGGGGCTGGCCTGGGGAAGGTGTGCTGGGGACTCCGGGAGCCCCACTCGGGCAGGGCTGGCAGTGTGTCTGAGGGATTTGGGCATGAAGGACAGTGCTCACAAGCATTTCTGTGCCCGGTGCCTTATGGGTGCAGGAATTGGCAGAGCGGTTCTGTGACCTGCTCAGGGTCACAACAAAGACCTGACATAGAACCAGGCCACTTGACACCCAGTGCCTTGGGCCATGCAAACCTCTGGAGCCTGAGGCCAGCCTCTGTGGCCAGGCCCCCTGATGGGTGGCTCTTAGGATGACAGCCAGGAAAGACTGGTGACAGTTCTCCCCCAGGTTTTGATCACAGTAGGGGCAGCCCGGAGGATCCTGTGGGCCTCAGTGGGGGGAGAGAGTGGATGGGGGTCCCTACTGAGATGGGTGGGGAGGACACCCCGAGTCTAGGAAATGTCTGGTACTGGAGACCGCCTGAGCTGAGGCACCATTGGATGCTCGGTTGCTAACATGGCAGCCTGGTGATGTGCTTCCCCTAAAGATGACAGCAGCCTGGGAAACCCACAGGGGCAGTTCTGCACTGCCCTCACCAAGAGTTAGAATCGACCAGACGGCACCCAGCAGCAGCCCAGGAAGGGACTCGGAATCCAGAGGCAGGTGTGGACTAACTGCTACTGGGTCTGTCTCACCATCGGTTTTTGGTAAACCTCCAAGCTGATGTTAATGTTCAGAGTTGACAGATGCAGCAGCAGCAGCGTCTTGCAGCAGCCGGGCAGTAAGTTAGGAGTTCTGGGTGGGGGTGGGGGGGCGTGGCTGTGGCTGGGCTCAGTGTGACTTGTAGTGCTGCCTCACCACCAGTTGACAGGACTCTGATCAGAACGGAAGCAAGTGAAGGATTTTCTCCAGCCCTCATGTACTGCACGGTGAGGGTGGTTCTCGCCCAATGTCCCAGACCAGTAGGTAAGATCCTAGGGAAAGCCTACCTGTTGCCATGCATCTGGACTGGCTCCTTGGAACCAGGGACCGGTCTTGGTCGTCTTGGGCTGCTGTGACTGAGCTCTAAGGGAGCACTCCAGGGAACAGACCATGCTTCTCTCCGGTCAAGGGGCTGGAAGTCCGAATTCAACGGGTGGCTCTCGGGGCAGGGGGTGGTTGCTTGTCAGTAGCCCTGGAAGTTCTTTGGCGTCATACTGACTGAATTAATTACATCATTAATTTAAAAAAAGCTTTTCCAAACAGTCAAATCCAGAGGTACAGGTGTTACGACATCAGTACCTTCATTTATGAGCTACATCCCAAGATATGAGTAGGTCACAAAATTAACGTCATGCCCAGTGACAGACATAGAAAAAGTGAAATCAATACTTAGAAAACAGTGTGCACTTTAACACATCAAGGCTCAGGCATGACTAAACATGAAGACAACCCCAAACCAGAATATTCCAAAGCGCTGCCTGTGGCCCAGACCTTCCCCTGCCTGGCCAGATCTTCGGGCAGCAGGCCTTGGGTCTGCAGACCTGTTGTGTCCTGTGACAGAGGGGAGGTCCTGGGTGGTTCAAATGGGGTCTTGCTCTTAACCAGGCCACCCTCAGAGAACCAAGTATAAGTAGATGCTCAGCAAACGTGTTCTGCCTTTGATATACATAGACACACATACTTGCCCGTGCACACACATGCTCTCCCAGGACCGGCTGAGCTGACACCCTCCTGAGGTCAGCGGGCGTTGGGTCAGCAGGTGGTTTCAGTGGTTTTAAGTCTGAAGTGAAAATCTTTGACACAAGGTAAACTTTAAACAGCTTCGTGGTTCTCAGAGCTGCCTTATCCCTGAGGGTTTTTTTTAGATTCTTTGATGACAGAATATATTTTGGAATCTGCCCTCGGTCAGTGAATGAGCTTTGTGAAGGCTCCTGAACACCGCCCTAGAGCAGGGCCGCAAACTGCGGGCCGAGTGTGTCTCTTGGGCGGCAGTTTGCCAGGTCCTGCCCGAGAGACACACTCGGCCCTCTCTGTGTGCGCGCGGGTAGCTCTGAAGAAAAGTCAGAAACAATTTAGAGGATGTTATTCAGATAACGGTGCTTCCATTTGTTTGTCAAAGTATATTTATGGCCCGAATAACTTTTAAATTGTGAGGGACAGGATTGGCTCTTCTGTTTCAAGAGTTGGCTAACCCCTGACTTAGAGGACTCTCAGTTCCTGCTGCTTAGCTCCTCCCCTCTAGACCAGGAGATGGGTGTAGGGTTAGGGTTAGGGTAGTGTTAGGGTTAGGGTTAGGGTTAGCAAGCTCTGTCTCCCTCCAAAGCGGATTCTCTGAGCTCCCCTGTCAATCTTCACAACACTCCATGAGAGGTGCTTTCCTCTTTCTCTTTTAATGATCAAGCAATTTGCGCTCTGACGTGATCACATTACTGAATCCAGCCCGTCTGAGCACCCTGAAGTAGCTCTGGAGGTGTGGTGGCTTGGTCTGTTAGCTGAAAGATCAGCAGTTAAAAACTACTAGCTGCTCTGATGGAGTAAGATGAGGCTTTCGGTTCCTAAAAAAGATTTATAGCTTCTGAAACCAAAGTGGACACTTCCACCTGCCCTAAAGGGTCACTGAGTCAAAATCCACCTGGTGGGTGTGAGTTTGGTTTTCGCGGGGAGCACCTGGAGTCTGAATTGGGGTGTACTTCATGTCATGGAATTACAGTGAAACCTGAGCACCAGGACCTGCCCGGGTTGCCGTGCTTTGCTGGGTCTTGCAAGTTCTCTGACTTTGACAAGGTGCCTTGTTAACCACTCCAGTCTTTGCCTTTTCCCTCTCTGCCAGGTTTCCACCACACACAGGCTCCGGCCCTTGCAGGTTTCACTGCACATCCAGGATCGTATTTCTAGGCAAACTTTGGTTCCTTGGAAACTGACTCAGAACTCATTTTTAATCCCCAGGTAGCTCAACACTCCCGTCATTAGATGAATTTGGGATGAGCCATGTGCTTGTTCTGAGATCCAACATCCATCCATCCATCCATCCATCCAACATTTGTATACTTGTTGCCGTCATCATTCTCAAAACATTTGCTTTCTGCTTGAGCCCTTGGTATCAGTTCCTCATTTTCCCCTTCCCTCCCTCTCCCCACTCCCTCATGAACCCTTGATAATTTATAAATTATTATTATTTTGTCGTATCTTACACCGTCTGATGTTTTCCTTCACCCACTTTTTTGTTTTCCATCCCCCAGGGAGGAAGTTATATGTAGATTCTTGTAATTGGTTTCCCCTTTCCACCTCTGTGATTGGTTTTTTAATCATCTGACTGGGAGCTCTTACGATGTTATAACAATCCATAATTCACATCAAGCATAATTTTGCAATTGCTACCACCATCAGTTTCAAAACATTTTCTTTCTTCTTGAACTCTTTGCTATCAGCTCCCCTTTATCCCCTTCCTCCCCACCCTGCTCCCCAGGAACCTCTTATTGTATTATTATGATTATATGTATATGTATTGCTATAATTTTACACATCCAGTGTATAACCTATTCACCTTCAATTCTGTTATTTGTTCTCCTGTTATACATTGCTGTCATCCCCCCCACCCCTGCATCGGATTGGTCTTTCTTGATGACGTGTCCAAACTGAGACTGTCGCACCAGCTTCCCTTCTAAGGAGCATTCTGACGATGCAGGTTTGTTCACCGCTGGCAGTCCACGAATGTCTGTCTTTTTCACCCTCACCACAAGTGGAGTGAGTCAATAGACATGGCAGCCCTGTGGGGTCTTGTGGCTTAGAAGAGAGCCAATCCCAGAGCAGAGAAGGAGTGGCATTGCCATCAAGCAAAAGCTGGGTGTGGAGCATGTCCTGGGCCCTGGCGTCCCTGCCCTGAGGGACCCAGGAGACAGAGTTGTAACACTGATGATGTCAGGTGGCGCAGGGCATCTGCCGAGAATCAGGATGCTGGCGTGAGATGACAAGGTGGGCTTCCTGGACCTGGGAGCAAGGCAGCTTCAGCAAGTGTGACAGTGGGCGGAGCTGAGAGCCTTTGGGATGAGGTTTCCTGGCCTCCAGGTGGGGACTGGCAGAGCTAAAGAGCTTTGTAACACTTTCCTGAGCAGAGCTGAGTTTGAACCGAGGGAGTGAGGGCCAGAGAAGAGAGAGACCTGTCTCCAGGGCTGGCCGAGAAGCTATCCTGGGCTGTAACCTGTCACTTCCCTGATAAACCCCACTGTCATGGGTATGGCCTGTGAATGCCATGGAGCGATGGCAAGGCATCACCCAACCCAGCCGAGCAGTAGCGCGTGCCCTGAGGAGGCGTGTCTGGTTTGGTAGCAAGGAGAGAGTCCCTCCTGCTAAGCAGCCTTGAGCTGTGAATGCTGGTAAAGACCCTCTGTCCCTGAAGTTCCAGGACCGCACATTCTCACACAGTCCTTTACTCTGTCTTTCTCATTGTTCAGATTTCTTAAGCATGTGAGGCAGTGACAAAGGCCGTGACGTGGGTCAAGTGCATCTTGGTGACCAAACCCGTGGGTTTATGCATTGTGCTTCGAACCTCAGTTAGCAGTTCAAACATGCCAGTCGCTCTGGAAGAGGAAGGTGAGGCTTGCTGCCCCTATAAAGATTTACAGTCGTGAAAACCAGAGGAAGCTGTTCCGCTCGGCCCCAGACAGTGGCATGAGTTAGAATTAATTTGATGGCAGCGAGCTTGGCTGCTGATGTGCCCGTTTTACAGTGTTCGACTGTGACTGTTGCTTCCGTGGGTCTTAATTGTTTTTCCAAGAAAATGATACTTTTGATCCCAGAAGAATGAGGTCATTGACAACTTCATCCTTGGATGACGCTGTGCTTCTCCAGCCCCCAGACCCTAGGTTCCTCCCTGGCCTCTGGATGCATCTTTTCTACTCCTTCATCCCTCCAGTTTGAACCCCACCC